TGGCAGATGTTACATGTTTTCTATCTTTGTGGATTCACAGTTGGTTGCTCCCTCTAGTGGTTTACATTTCTGCAAAACAGCTCAATTCAACAGCATCTGGAGAAACTCCTCTGCGCTATTCCACTTTATATCAAACTGCACACAAAATTTACAATCACAAAGTGCCAGAAACTATCGCACTCTTATTGGTCGACTCTTATCTCACCAGCTGCACTTCTCCATAAGCTCCTCTCCCGATCAACTTCACTTTCTCAAAGTCTTCAAGCTTCACATGCAGTTCTCGTAGCTCATCCACCGCCTTCTCATCTGCAGGATGGACAGACAGACATGTTACCATGGCAATGTAAAAGCCAAGCTGCAGTCATGTAGGTTCAAAGGAGAGGGACAGCTGTTGACTGCTGGATCAGGGAGAGGTCACTTTTAACAACTGGCCACAACATCATACTAGTCTAATGCAATTTAGTAAAGCCATGGTAGTTTTTAGATAAGAAAGACAAATTAAAAGAATACAGTATATATTTTAGAAGACATTTCCTTAACGCAAGACTAATTTTGGCCACATGTTGGTGTTTATTCATTCATATTCACATGCACACAATCACCAAACACAATCTTACATCTGTTCAGAAATGCCTCGATGTTTTTGTTTTTCCGCAGGGCAGGATAGTTCAAATCATGGGCCAATGCGCTCATGGAATCCTGAAAGACAAACAAAAAGAGAAAAATCCCTCATTAAACACAGAAAAACTGTGAACGGATAATAATAATAATAATAAGAACACTTCCAGGTCTGTGCATCAAAAGCCTTGGTTAATATCACTTTTGTCTCTCAAACAACTCACTATGTGTTGAAAACAAATACTGTTTTACTATGGAAAGATTACTGCCTGGGTTCTTCCATTACCAAACTGAGAACTGTGAAAATGTTTTCATGTTTCATAGCTTTATGTTACAAATGGAGGAAGGACAAGTGAGGAGTAAGGCACGCATTCCTGACCTCCTACTGGCTGGTAAAAGATAACAAAACTGAAGGAAGGGAGAAAGTAATGACACAGTGACTCAAGTTTATGAGCTGTGTGTTCCCAAATGCAACATGCATGATGAAGAAAGTTAGGTTGCTAATGTGTAGCATAGCAAAACAATGACAAGACGACAATGGAAGCTGGATGTAAAGACATAAGTCAAAAGTTAATCACATGATTCTGTTCCAGGTCCCTGCACACAAACCATCAGCAAAGCCCACCAATACCCACCTCAACCAAACACACACCATTCCCCTCTCTACAGCTCAATGCAGAGGAACCAGGGCAGCGTCAGACTAAAAGCCGGGGGCCTCAGTAGTGTCATCAGTGCTTAAATCAGCGGCGTTGGGTTTCACATAGAACCAAAATGTCTCTGTGATCCAAATGCATGAGGCTGGCAGTGCAAGAGGGCAGGTGGGAGGTGGGGTTAGGGCTAGGGTGTAGTATGACCCTGTGTTCCCTAAAAACAGGGGTTAAGTGGAGTCAACCAGCATGTGTGTGTGTGTGGGACTGAACCATAGAGGTGTCTGTTCGTTCAGGGACATGTGAGTGGGTGGGCAGCGGCATGTGGAACAATTCTGCACCTTTAAATAGCAGCAGCGAGGAGAGATTCCCCCCCCGCCACTGCAGACGGTTGGAAATAGACCCAAAGGATCAGAAGCTATTGTGGGACAAACAGCTTATGTGTCTGGATTCAGGCTGAGCACTCGAGAATCTGTGATCATTTTACACTATGTGTGTAGTAATGGCCATAGTTACTGCAGTGGAGAGGGACCTCGCTGATGATGGACGCTAATATTTAATCATATGCAAATAATCTCATTTTAATGGACTCAGTTGAAACAGTTGGTGTGTGTAGTCTGTGTGAATGTGTGACTAAAACCTGAGCTGCTACATGTTCTCGAATCTGAAATCAGCTTTTAAATAAAAAGGTTTAAATCTGGTTAAATCTATTTAACTTGTTCATCAAACCCCAAACCTCCTGCTTCCCTTGTCAACAGCTTTACAGTTCTACGTCTCTGCCAACCAGTCAAATTCACAGGAATGCTCAGATGTGAGGTCACTGACCTTGACCTTTGACTACCAAAATCTCAGTTCATCCTTGAATCTAAGTGGACACTTGTGCCAAATTTCAAGAAATTCCCTCAAGGCGTTCCCGACACGTCATACTCATAACAAGGAGCCCTAGAGCCACACGAACAGACAGGCCGCAGCTATTGCCAGGGCGGAGACATCAAAATTATAAGTAGAGTAACTTTATATTATATTGTTGTCAGATAATTTACACTTTAATTGTTAAAGTGACTACCTGCATGTTATATAGATTGTGCATTACAAATAAAAATGGAAGAAGTAAAAGATTCAACAAACAATTTAAAAAAAAAAGCATAAGAAAGAAAAGACACATAGGAACTAGTGTTCTGAAGTCGGACAAGTCGTCCGAAAAAAAGAGTGCTCTTTGGTAATGGGTATGATCAATAAACCAAAAAGTCAATAAACAAATATCAAGACACTCGTCTTATAAAAAAGTTAGACTGCCCTTAAATACATCTGGGTATTTAATGGACCTGAGACAGTACAAGGTGCGTCCTCTTTTAAGTGTTAAGAGTTCTAACAAATTGATGAAATACTGTATTGTAGTTCTACAGATATCAGTGCTTATGTAAACATCAAGTCAGGTTTCCACACATGCAACCCCTCCATTCATTGTGCAAGCCTTTTTCACAGCAGACAATACCACACCAGAGAAAGTATAGCTCTTACTAAAAACTGAAGCAAATATTCATTATTTACATGTGTAATGCAAACCGTGATTTAGTGAGCACTAGCTGCAATGACAGTCATTTTAATAATCCACTACGATCTACTGATAAACAAGACTGTAAATTACTTACTGCACAGGCCTTTTGCTAATCTACAGTGTGGAATTAGTGAACAGACAGAGCTGCTCTTGCAAACTTTTCATGGATGAGCTCAGGCGTCTCATGGAGTTTGTTGGTTTGGGTATGATCAGCAGCTAAAAACCAGTCTGACAAATTTAGTTGACTGCAAAACTACAAAAGACAGGGAAGTTTTGTTAAAGTAACTAGGGGTTAACGTCAACAATAAACTGTAATACTGCAAAATTTCATGGTATCATTCTAGGTTATATTGTTATAAGAGAGGTTTAAATATCTTGTCCCCTGATGGAGCCTAAGACCAGTCAGACCTAATGACAGTGAGATCGAATATGTTTGATTTTCACCTCTGCAATCTCTGTTTACTGAACCAAATTAAGCAAATCCTTATGCAGTATCTGATCTGTACATGTTTTTACATTCTTCATCAAGGTGTTGTCCCATAACTGCACTAGCATGTTAGCTGTTTCTATTAATCAATTTATGTCTGGGCACTAATAAACAGATACAAACAGACCTGTGTCTTTGTTATGTGCACTCACTTGTTTATTAAAAGGTATTCAGAGCCTCTGCTGCGATGCTCCCAACTGTGATTACTTTAATAATCTGTGAAACGTGTCCGTGAACTTGATGGGAGTCCACCTGTGGCAGCTGGACAGACCTGAGGGAAGGATGAATGCAACCAAATACAGACAGGTTCTTGAAGAAACCTTACTCCGGTGTGCACGCGACCTGAGACTGAGGGACGATTCACCTTTCAGCACGACAATGACCCAAAGCAGACAAAGGGACTTTGGAGTGGCAGACTGCCCATGTGTGCAAAGTCTGTAGAGACTTAACCAAGAAAACTAGAACAACATGAGGTCATCTCCCAAATCAGATCCAGATCCTTTGTTCTATTGATCTTTTAAAGAAAATGTGAAAAAAACATCTTCTGCAGACCAAGAACAAAAATAACTGGACAAACAGGATGGTGATGTGAGCTCACAGGGGGGGGTGCTTTCCTTATCTCATTTCCAGAAGTGACTCTGGCTTCCTGTGCGGTGCCTCTCTGTGTTAGGAAGCATACTGCTCATTGTTGCTGTATGTCCACTACAGAGCTGCCTGGAACCAGATGAAGCTGACTATAGGGATAAAACTGAAAATGATGACTGCTGAGGTTTAGCGGGAGGGTCGACATGTGTATAAATTTAATGATTAATTTCAGTTTTGTCATCTCATGTCATCGTAATGCCTAAGTTGTGGATTTATGCAGTGGCTTTAAACCGGACCTTACTTGTGACTCATCAAATTACAGACATAAAGATTGAGTTCTTTGCTCCAAATATCAGAATAACCTGACAAACAACTACGGTTGATGGAGATCTGTAAATACAACTGAATAAATTGTGATTATTTCATTTGCTGAGTCAAAGTGGAGCTACATAAAATCCATACAGAAGAGCAGGTAGCCAGTTTAAAATATACGTTAAAGCAGGTGCCTGTACTGTAGATTGCTAGGGAAGGGGTTTTCAAGAGGAAACAAGTAAAGAAAGTGAAAATGTAGGTGGTGACCTGGTGTGAGATCCTGTCAAGACAGAAGCCATAGCTCAAAAATGCATATTTGTTATTTAAGGTTGGGGTGGAGTGTCTTAGCAGGGACATACACTCTTAGGACAGGTCAGTGAGAGGGCCACACCTTAAAGAGTCAACAGGTTAACAGACAGACAATGATGGAGTGGAGACAAACGATGAATGAATGAACTTTGATTTTAGGGAGAGCACAGATTGCTTCTTGGTATATACTGTTGAATGACTGAGTTTAAGAACTCTACAAAACAATATATTTGCTTAAGATCAATCCATATTCAACACAGGAAAAGGTGGTTACATATTGGGTTTACAGTAGGTGTGGTTTCCCTCTGCTACAAAGTCTAACTAATGATCAGCTGAGCTTTGGTGAATGTTAAATGAGCTTTTCACAGGCAGTTATATTAAATTTCGCACTGTCCAATCACCCACTGTATAATAATCACTGGTTCTTCACTTGTTTGGCACTCAAGCTACTTTCGAGACATGTCTCTTCAGGTAATCTGTGATTACCACAAAAAAAAAAAAAAAAAAGACTGAGAACAGCTGCTTATGTGTTGAACTCACTGTGTCTCTGTCCCAGTTGTGACACCAATACCTGGGACAGACCCTGAAGGTAAATGTGAACTTACCAGTAAGCTTTGCAGGTTTAGTGCCGCCTGTGGATTCCTCATCGAGGACTCCAGCTTCTTTAGCCGGCTTTCCAGTCTGCTCTCCGCTCCAAGCATGACTACAGTACAGTGTATCCCGGTCAAATGACATGAAATAGCGCAAACACCTGTAGGCCTGGATTTCAGGCGGGCGGTTGGCGCACTCCGCTACTACTTGGCCGAGCTCGCCATGTCACCTCTTCTGTAAACTGCGGTTTGACTTGTCAGGTTAATTATTTATCCGCTGTCAAAGTTTGTTGTCCCACTACTTTTCCATTAATATCACAGCAAAAAGTGAAAACCGAGAGTGTTTTTTGAGACCGAACGAAGACGCGCTTCACCTTCAGTCCTTCTCCAGGTAGCTACAACAAAACTTGATCCGACCACAGCGTGTCGAACCTGAACGCCAGACCACTGTCAACCTCCACAGGACAAACCAGTGCCACTTCCGGTTTATACTAGCAACTAAAACTGGTCGAACTGTAGCCTAAAGACCCCCCCACCACCACCACAAAACAACCCCATAATCATAATAATAAAACGTGAAAGTTGAGCAGGCCTATGGAAAACAACAAATGTTCATTAGAAAAAGTATTGCAATATTAAAAAAAATTCTTGTTTAACTAAAATGAAATGTTTAGAAAATTGTAAATAAATAAGCCTGCATACGCAAAACAGTATTTGTTGAAGAATGTAGGAGTATTTGTTTTTGTTAATAAGAAGCTTGCATTGCTAGCCAAAGTAAAAAAAAAACCGAGCTAACTAAAAATAGCTTAAATTCATTATGTAATTCGTTGTGGTCTTGGTGCATTTAGAGTAAGGAATTTTGTTTTTAACTGTTTTTGTTTTCTCTTTTACTTCTTTCTTTTTTAAAAAAAATCCTGTTTGCCTTGTGTTTAATAAAACATTTTGCGTAGCATTTCTATGGTTATTTGACCTATAATTTATGTATGACAAATGTTCTACATACGTTGCATTTTATGTTGGAACAATTTGCTCTCTTTTAGTGTTAGTACCATAAAATGAAGTGATAAAGATCAACCGAAAAACAAACAAAACAAGAAACAACACTACCATAACGTAACTTTGATCAATGCTTTTATTTTGAAAACCTTGTATCCGGTTTATGTTGCTCAAGTTTGGGAGACCTGACAAATACAAATCTCATGTTTCATCTATGCCGATTTGAGGAGGACTCCTACCCAGTTTCAATCTCTGTCCTCCCCCCGGAAATTTGCTCCAGGCTGGACTAACCCCGCTTTCTGTTCCATTCGAGCTCTTACCAAGCCGGTATTTCTGCTCTCTTATCTCATTCATCCGTTTTACCGTCACAGCACAGAGCCTGAACGAACTTTCAGTATTTTAGGAATGCTGATGTGTTGCCTTGGCACTAAAAATAGAAATTTACAAGGCCCGTAGTGTGTTCCCAATCCTTGTGTGCAGCGCAATTGTTTTTTTATCTGTGACAGTTTATTGCCGAAAGATTTAGCAAGATACAGCACAGCAAAATTTTAATTCCCAGATTTAAAAAGTTACATTAAAAAGTATCCTATAGTCTAAGTATCCTAGCCTATAAGTACGCTATAAAAAAATCGTACAAATAAATGAATACATTCATACATTCATAAAAATACACCAGACATTTACTGGCTCTTAATAACTTTTATTTATTTTACTTTACAAAGAGGTATCCTCCAAAGCTATTCAAATACAAACAATCTGTGAACAATCCCTTCAAACAGTGGGCTAAATATTTGACAGGGGAGGTTAGAAAGTACCTAGTCTACGATATTCAAGCAACAACAGCAACAAAATCTCTGACACAAAATGTATTTTTTGTCAAAACGTAATCAGGTCAGAAATGGCAATGATTAGAATGTGCAATAATACCAATAATGGCAGTCTTAATGTCTTTTTTTGGCCTCTGGCGTCAGAGTAGAGGACCACTTGTTGACAAGGCAGCTGTTTGCATGGAGTGATGTCATCACTGACTCATACAAGCTGCTGATAAAAAGTCCCCTAGCCAGCCGAGTATGACACTGACATAATGGCATGACCTGTACTAGTGACAGTGTAGGCTGGAATGAGCGGGGAGACAGTCAAATGGGTTGTAGACATAGACACATACATACAGACACACAAACTAGGCATGTAGTTATGGAATGATGGCAGGAGCGGGCTACATTTTGAGTTATTTTAGGAGGTTATGATGGCGACTTAACCCAGGGGACTGTTGAACTCTTCATCAAAATGAAGCTTTTGAATGCAGCTGACTGCGCCCTTGGTATGACACTGCTGTGATGCTAAGATATATTCAAAGTAAGGCTATCTACTTGGCGTCTGATAAGTCAGATGGCACTGATTGCAGTGTTCTGTGTATGGGTTTCAGCAGACTGCCGTGGACCTCCCGGTGCTTTCCTGTCAGAAAAGGGCAGGTGCAAAGTTACACAGGCAAACACTGCTCTCTAGTGGGGATGCACTACATGAACATAAAGACAAGGGACACTTAAGAGCTTCAGCACTCACAAAATACAATGGCAAAGACAAAAAAATGAAGAAATAAAGCACTTTTTGTGAAAATCTATAGATGCATCATCCATAAGTTAATATAACATTATATAGTATCTGCGTTGTGTTCAACCAGAAAAATTGAAACATTACAATGGGACAAGTGTTGACAAAGCCTCTAAGTAATACTGTAATACTGATCGCTGCATATTACAGCATTTGACAGTTGAGTATAATACCACACTTGGTAATATAAGAAGCCTTGTTTTTTTTTTTTTAAGGATCATCTGATCATTTCCAGTAATGTAAAAAAATCAGAATCTGGAGCAGTTTAACTATCATGTGCCATGAAAGTTCAATATTTAAATTTTCCATGAATATAAATGGCACTTAGTGCTAAAAGTGATTCAAATTCTGATTTGCTATCAAAGCTTTGGCAGGTGAATGGTGAGGGAGGGTCTGTAAATCATTTATGTACCAGAGTCATCCGCACAACACAAGTGTCCCCAGACCATCTCAGCTACTGTGTATCAGTAGGTGCACCCTCATATGTGGTTTAATATTGTTTAGAGGAGGCAGACGATGCATCCTCAGTCCTCAGAGATGGCATTATATTGCTCAGTTGTCTGTTTAACAGCCCAGTTAGACTCTCTCCACACAGTGTCTCTGCCCAAGGATAAAGTCTTATTCTCAGCAGAATTTCACTTCTCCCTTAAAGGAAGTGAGCAGAGTAGGGAATCACAGGCAATCAGTTGTGAAGAATCAAGCCTCAGAACTAGTGTGTGTACTGTGTACCGTATTTAGATTGGGCAGAGAGGTGGAAGGGAGAAGGGTATACTATTTTCCTGGCTGTCGGTCAAAAAAATAAAAACGCTCCTGAAGTCTGAGCCCCCGTTGGCCAGGTAACCCAAAACCTGGAGTGGGGAGTCAGTGTGGGATATGGGGAGAGGAACAATGTGGCTCTTTGTGCAAGCTGGGCAGAGAAAACAAACCGTTTCCCCTGGAAAGAGATCATGTTCAGGCTCCATCTGAGAAGACCACACAAGGCTGATCAGAACTCTGTCTGCTGAGTGGAGTAAGGAGAGGAGGAGGAGGAGCACATCTGGGCAGCCACCCTAACTGTTCCTCACATAGACAATCTAGGACAACGTCAGACAGGGAGAAGATCTGAGATGCTCCACATCCAGCGCTCACTGAACACAGTATAACACACAAGTCAGCAATACTCTTTGGTCCAAGACAAAATGTGTGACTGTGTTGTTTTCTTCCCCAGTGTTGACTTAATATGGCCATCTGGACTGCTTCCTGGGTTGGCACCCTGCTGGTCTGCAGGCAGAGAAACACTGGTGGGCTGACAGGCAGAGGGACAGGCTCGAAGGCATTAGCACTAGCGTTGTCCACAAGGGGGCGTGGCACTGAATCTGGCACTGCCATACAGTGTTAAACAGGGATTCTGTTCATTAGGTGGAAGGGGGGAGAGCAGAAAAATGAAGAGGGAGAAAGTGGTGAGATGTTATAGATTCTGTGTAATTTCAGTTTATCTTCATCAACCCCTCATTCCTTAATACACCCATTCTACATAAACACTGAGATAGAAGCTTTTCATCAGGTTAACACTAAGATAACTGTCGCACAGGACACAATCAAACCAAGAACATCTGGCCTCTTTCTTTTTCACAAACGTGCACAGACACATTAAATGTAAACAGATGCACACACACACACACACACACACACACACACATGTAAGGGCCAAACCAGGGCTCTGTACTCCCTCTGTCCCATTGCGTTTTAGTTTCAAACGCTCAGCAAATACCCATGTGGTGGGATCGGGTTACACGGGGCTATAAAATATCCCAAATAAAGGCAAGGAAAACTGAGACAAAAAATGGGCTGTTTCCTGAGGTGAAGTCCTCCAGTTGGCTGCTGATTGTGATTTAGACTGGGAGATTTTTTAAAAAGATTTTAGCAGTAGAGACAATAGAAAAGGACATCAATGTTCAGTTTCAAGCACAGAGGTGGTCAGTTTATGTCATTCACATACACCAGCCAGCTCCCATTACACACAACGCAGGGCCATAAATCCGTCCACACGACACAAGCAGCCCACTGTAATTTCGTATGTACTGGTTACTAAGGGGATGCATAAAACCATAACAAATGAGAAAGAATACAGTTGGAGCTCATTTAGTGAAACTGAATCTAATGCTTGGGCATAAAACATATGGTATATAAAATAAAGGGTTATGCTGTGATCTCTCTATCAACAGCCATCATTTTAAAACACAAATATTAAGGTGACCCCTGTCCTTTTGCAGGGTTGGAGCAGAATATGTAGAGAAAAGTACAGAGAAGTACAGTTGAAATCTAAACCATCCCTGTAATACCAGCAGATTTATCTCAGGGCATACAGTAACATGGTAACATAATCTCGTTATGGCGAGATACCAGCGGGTGGTGTTACAGCCATTTGGACGACCAATAAGACAAGTGAAATCAAGAAGGTGTTTCACTGGTTCAAAGTAAGTAGGCTTTTCTGTTGCACTCTAACAACAACATCTGGTTGGCAGGGGACCATGGTGGTGAATAAAGACAGGTAAAAGACCAACAGGGGAGAAGAGAGCACAAAACTCATACATGAGAGAGAGATGAGTAGAAGATGTATGATTGGATCACTCTGGTTCTGCGCACGTGTTTTCTAATGAAGCCCTAGAGTTCTAATACAGTTGAAGGCTGGCTGTCAAATTCACAGAGCCTTGTAGCACACCCAACAGTCTCCTCTGCCTCTACAGCAATGTCAGAAAGATGTCTGTACCGCCCCCCACATATTATGCAGTCAGAAGCAAGAGCTTGACTTTGGGGTCACATTTTATCAACCTCACTCAATCTGTCTCATTGTCTAAAGTGTCAGGTTGGATAGGCTATCCCATAACCTCAA